TCCAGTCATAAGTATGTCGGGTTCATGCAATTGACCGTACTTTCTTATGGAAACCATAGGATAACTGTCATGAATGATACACCTTCGCATAGCGATCGAAGACGGCTTCCTTGACGCCGCACCAAGTCCAGTGTCTGTTGCCATTTCACGCGAATGCGGAGCGTATCGTCCCCCGAGTCGCAGCAGTACATATGGGCAAACCTATGATAAGGACTGATGCTAACAAAAAAAAAACAAAAAAAAAAACGGGTGCGTTACCAGCCGACAGAGTTCTAGTTCTAGTTCTAGCCCGTATATTCTTACGTCGTTACTATCAGAACACATGATTGCCTGAGCACCAAACGCCTTGACCTGCATACTAACTGAGCGTCAAACCATCCAGATGTAAATCTAAGAAGGCATGACAGGCCGGAGAACAGAAGAAGGGCAATTCCAACGCCGCGTGGCATTGCAATGGAAAGCCTTGCACGATTGGTTAACACTGGCACCGGGTTCCTGCTGGCGTCGTGAGTTGGGCAGCGTTTGAAGTGTCAAGTCGCTGGAAGTACACGGCATTTCCATTTTTGACGTGACATTTCGGCAAGCCCGTATGGAATCTGTCAGTGTTACTCACAATCCTGCCCTTGTTAAGATCAAAGCCCCTCTAGTTTCTGAGCTACACACCTGCGAAAATGGGGGAAAGGTATGTCGGGGAGAGTAAATCAAAACGACCTTGGCATTCATGAGGTAATAACGCCATTCAAATCCTGCCATTCCATAGGCCATGCGGCGATCGAGGCCAAGAAAATATAACTATCCAGGCGTTTATATCTGGCGTTCGTAAGCGCACTTCTAGATATAACTGCCACCATCTGGCTCTCAATTGATGTGCAAGGTACGATGACATGAAACCATGACGCATGGCAGAACGTATTTGCTGAACAGAAAATTTTGCGGTCTAGCCCGGCCTTTTCCACATAGAGTATGTCAATAGTCATAAGTCAATGTGTTTCATCATATATGATGCTTACTTCAATATCTTCGAATGTGAAGCGTTTCCTTAAAGGTGCCACAGCCGCATTATTATACGCATGGCCCGTCTCAAGGCCGGACAACCTGCTCTTCAACGTCACTCCGCGTGAGGTGCCAAATGTGATATAATTCTCCAGTCGTTTTTATCATTAGACCGACAATGATTAGATGGGTCTAAGATAACATTGAGGGGGGGGGGGGGCAGGCACACACAAATGTATCAAACCCACACCAACACAACTAACAGTGGGACGCTGTGCTGTTGATATCTCGTGGGCGTGACGATGTAGTTGACACGACTACGTTTGGTGCAATGCTGCTTATGGCGGCTGTGTTTTGTAACGATGTTAGAGTAGTCTGACGCGGTACATTTTGCTGTATGCCCGCGTATCAACTGAAACGGACGCTTGAGCCCAGGAGACCATATGCCCTAATCGAAGACAAGTATGCCAGCGTCACTTGGAGTTTGTGGCTGGGTTCGATATGCATTTGATATGTATTTGTTTGCTTAAAATCCATCTACCGAGGTGGCTTTTCAGGACTTCCACTCGCTGCAACGTCTGCAAGGTTCGGTTCTTTTCAAGACTCACTCACTCGTTACAACGTATTACAAAAAATAAAAAAATAATAAAAGGCGACACTAAACTATACTACAAAATGAGATCTTACCGAAAATGCTATAAAATACCGGGTTGCGAGATACGAAACGATAAAATACGACACGATTAAAACAATGCTATAAGGTATATACTAAGTCGACATGATGATTCCAATAATGTTCTTAATTGACAACAGAATTCACCAAACCCAGAGTACACATACAAAGATGAATGAAAACACATTGCAAGCACGCGGGTCCGCATGAGCGTGCAAACATCACACGCGTACATACATCTGAGTACAAGCACATAGACAACCAGCATGCACTTTAAAACGGAGGCTCATGACTTCATATTTGCGTTTTGAGATGCCAGTCTTTAAGCCGTCCGAGATCAAGACAGTGGTGGTCGGTGGGAGACGGTTCCCACTTGCCGCGGCACGATAAGGAAAGGCTCGCTTGATGACTTCCAATCGGCACGTGGGCAGGTGGAGACATTGATATGGAGGAGCGCGCCTCCCCTCGTAAAACAGTGGAACGTTGTCTGAAAAGAAATTGGACACCCAGGGGCAACTCTTGCATTCTACCACCTTGAATATTTTCAACACGTTTCTCTCCATCACCAAGGTATCAATCCGGTGCCAGTCTAGAAATTCCAGAGTCCGTGTAACGTGTTGGATGCGCAAACCCACACGCATAGACGTGAGACATGTGTGGAAAGACGTAAGTCTTGATCACAGTTTTGAGACCACCGGGTACATAGCTATGCCCGAGGCGGTACAGCAAGATTAAAATTCCGTTGCATTTTCGCACTTTGACGAGACATTCTCGCACGAAAGCGGCGAGTCTATGATCGTACTGAGAAATTTGATGCGCCGTGAGTGTGAGATAGTCTCCATTTACTGCTCAGTGAGAATCAAAAGCTTTCCTAGGTCACGTCTTAAACCTATGAGAACAGTCGGTTCTGCCCTGTTCATTTCCAGTGAGTTCGCGCTGAGCCAAGCCAGAAGTTCGCAAATTGATGTTTCCAACCATTTATCGCGTCGAGACTCGAGACTGCTTGTTGGAGCGAGTGTGGTCCAGGACCTGAGTGTCATCCAAATATAAGGCGAGGGGTCCATGTGACAGATGAAAGTGAACTTCCTTGGCAAGTGGACGCTTTGCTGTACTTCAGCTGTAAAAGCCAGTGCTTCGCGATGGACAGTATGCATCAAAATGCCGTATCGCTCTTTTGGGAAGGCCTTCGCCACGATGGTGTCCGTGAGTCATCAGTTGCCGCTTTCCACCAACGGCCTTCCACTTCCGCCAAAACCTTCCGCTTCCACCAAGGACACTCCACTTCCAGAGGAGAGGGCCATCAGCGGTGTCAGCGCCAATATCCGCGGGACCCTGTGAATTTAGATCTCCCACTCAATCAAAATCCTGAATAGGCCACCGACGCGTGCAACGCCCATATCCCTTTTAATTCACCCGCAGAGGCAGTACCGTGACCCAGAATTATGGAGAACACGGTCAAGTCCATCCGGAGAACACCAGGCGCAACTGCAGCATAGGGCCGTACTCCAGAGCCGCGACGCCCTGCCGGTCTTCGAGGACGCAAGGAGTCCTTACCCGAGCGCCACCGAGTCATTCTGGTCGCCGAAATCTGCGGCCCGTCGTCCATAGCCGGCATTCATCACACGTGTCGATAACAGCGGAGGCGGAGGAAAACGGAGGGGAGGGGAGCGGGCACGCGGCAAGGTCACGTCTCTGGCAGGCATGGTATTTAGATGAGCATGTTCACCACGTCACAAAACGATTTCCATGATGCTGCTTTAAGTTCGCAGTGTGTCATGCGACAGCTTCTTGTCCCTTTACACGACAAATCGAGTGAGGGATAACTGACGCAGTGGGAGATTGGGCGCAACGACTGTGCCACCAATGCCCAGTGTAACATGACTCGGATATGGAACTTCGTAACTGCTCACAGCACAGGCATGCCAACTCAGCGGGCCGCATCGCCGTGGTGGCTTCAACCCGGCGTCCTGACCGACATCAAATCCACCCAGTCTCAGTCAGGGAAGCGAACAAAACCACAAACTCAGTTGGCAGTCTTTTACATAACGAGCGACAACATTGGCATGCGCGCATTACACATCACGGGACAACTCGGCCTACATCGACGTCGAAGGAGGTGCCCTTCAACCCTCTTACAACACGACTTAACAATACAGACGGCTTCCATGCTGCCCCGAGTGGCCAGGCGTCGGCGCTGCTTGGTGAAACTGGGATGGCTGTGGCGCGCGCTCACGCGGCGCACGCTGACTTGAAAGCGGCCGTGACTCGAATGAAATCAAGCTGAACATGATAAAAGCAAGGCTCAAGGGAGGGTGAACAGGATCTTCACACCGTTCACTTCGCTTGGCTTGGCACTGACGGGGTCCCCGCTTGAATAGGCACGATGCTTGCACAGTGCAAACCAAACGGCACGCGAGCATAGAGCCGGCCTTAATGAGCGAGGATAGAGCTGGCCAGAATGAGCGAGGATAGAGCTGATCTGAAAGAGCGAGCATAGAGCTAGTCTCAATGAGTGAGCATGGAGCTGGCCAGAATGAGGGGGCGTAGATGCTGGTCTGAATGAGCGAGCATAGAGCTGGCCAGAATGAGCGGGCCTAGATGCTGGTCTGAATGAGCGAGCATAGAGCTGGCCAGAATGAGCGGGCATAGATGTTGGTCTTTGTACAAACACGCAAACAGAGACATTCCAATCCGACAGCACGGCACCTGCAGAATAACTCTCGCCCTGTTAGCAGCGCCGTCCAAACTCCACACGCGAGCCGGGTTTTGTACAAAGAAGCAAACAATTAAACAATCTGGCGAAGGCACTCCTCGCGCGGCGGGCCGCACCAATCGAAGCCGTCCGTCACTTGGTCCGCCGGAGGGTCCGACGCGTCCTGAAACAAGGGAGCGCACTCAACGGCGACCAAAGAACAGCTGACGGGAGCATCCGGCAAAAACCATGCGGCGCCGCCTCGCGAAGCGTCCGGCAAAAACCGTACGCGCCGAGCCGGTAACCGCATAGGAGATCGGCTTGTCCGGAAAGGGGTTCAGGGGCTTCGAAAAGCTCGCGCGTGCTGACGGACGTCCAGACACTGCTCACGCCCTGCCGCAGGACCAACACCCGACCGCATCCCGAAATGGGAGTCCCCGGCACTGCAGGGGCCCAGCACGGCCTCCGCCCCCACGCCTTCCGTTCGGGCTGCCGCGACCTTAGCCTCGGCCGGGGCGTCCCACGCATCGCTTCAAGGAGCCAACAGCACACGGCAGGGGGCAGTCCAACGGAAGAAGCACTCGCCCTCCAACGATGTGACGGAAGACGCCGCTGTAAAACGCTGTATAGTGCCGAGCCGTTTAAACAGATGGGGACGTCTAGGGCACGGTGCTTGCAGGATACCTCCCGTCACTTTTGCAGTGACAAGCGGATGATTATGCGTGAAAAGGTGGGAAGCACCGTTTAGAACTACACACGAGTGTGCGCAAATAGGGAGGCAAGTACCGTTTAAAAAAAAACCACCGGGGGCGTCGGCGCAAATCCCTTCAAATACGCGACAATAGAGCGGACACTGCTGTTACAAGGCGGGGGGGGGGGGGGGGGGGGAGGTGGGCATCTTCTACGCCCACAGCTTCTGTATTTCTCGGCCAAACAGCTGCCCGCCTTGCATGCATCTTTAGCAACTAGCAAACGGTACATGCTTCATAAAGCTGGCAGATACTTCATCATTTTATTTGAAATAAGGCGTCCATTCAGACGCGTCATCTGGACGACAAATGGGGGAGGGGGAGGGGGAGGGGACTTTATGTTAGTCTATCTTACACTGCCTCACTCAGACAGAGCGGTCGGAAAACAGACGTAAAGGAACAACATGGCAGTCCCAGGTCCCGTTGACGCCACAGCCTAGGGCATAAATGGCGGATGAGCACTGCAACTTTATAATGAAGAGTACCAGTTGTAGGCTTTTCTGCCGAAAGCTTGGCGCTGCCTCAGTTCTCGGCACAACACCACGGGCTTAGAAATTAACGATCCATGTTTTAAGAGAATTGCAATTAAAACATCTTGAATAGGTTCTTGAGCTAAACGACACGAACACCGCGCGCCGCCACGACCCCGCTGCGAATGTGACGAGCCCAAAGGTTTGCCACAGCTTGCATCAGCACACACCACAAATTGAAGTCGTGGTTTTGAATCTTCGAAGCTCACAAAACTGCTGCGATGTGGCCGCGACAGAGATGCATCTAAAGATCAAGGAACTTCACAAGCACGACGCAAGCCAGGCGACGCAGGTAACGACAGCATCCCAAGGCCACGGAAACGCAACAGACCGCCTCGAAGGCGACCGCTCCTCATCCCACTAGCTCGACGTCCGGCCTGTGCTTACCCTGAGGTGGCGGCGCTCCGCTTCCCGGCGAGGCCGCTCCGCTGAAGTCGAGCTCGTCCTCTCTGCACTGGCTGCTTCGGTGCCCGCTTGTGTCTCGCCTTCGCCGTTGTCCTTGCCTCCATATCTTCGGTCTTGCTCGCCTCCCTCTCCGCTTTCTTCGCGATCATGCTTTCCTTTCGCTTTGTGGCCGTCTTTTCGTCACCACCCTGCTTCGTCTCTATTTCGACCAGGGTGGCTTCCATCTTTCGTTCCTCGTCAAGCGTCGCGTTCTCTTCTCCAGCTTGCACCTTCTTCGCCGTCCCTGTTTCCAAATCCTCGGCCGCCTGCTTGGTCTTCCCCTCCGTCGACATCTCCTGCTCCGCCCCGGCCACCTCCCCGGCCGCCTTCCGCGCCGAGTCCTGCTCCGCCTCGCTCGCCCCCGACGCGGCACCCGACGGCTGACCCTCACCAGACAGCACCGGCGCCTTGCCCGGCCGTCCTGGCACGCTCGCCGTGCCCTTCTTCGGGCCGCGCGCCGCCGTCCCCCCGCTCCTGATCATCCTGGCCTTGCCGCGGCCGTCGGCCATCTCCCGCCGAAGCCCCGCCTCCGCGCGCGCCTTCCTCGCGCGGCGCTTCTCGGCTCCACTCATCGGCCGCTTCTCTCGCTGGAAGAGAGGCGCACGGATCAGGGTGGTGTGTGCGGCGACCCGAGTGGCGACAACCACGGAGAGTGGTGCTCGTCAGATCGTGGAGGGACTCATACTGCGGCGAGAGGAAGGAAGAGCGCGAGCGACGGGTAGCAAATAAGACCAACACTGAGAGGAGGACAGAGGAAAGGACAGCACAACGGATGGAGGGGGCGACGCCGGGAGGGAGTACAAAAGGACACACAGGCAGAACAATCAAGCACATCCGTACTGTTGTGAGATACAATTTGCACAGCCGTTTTGGTACAAGATCGTGATCAGCCTTCGCGTAATTCCCAACCTTTTCCTGGTCCCAGAGAGGTGACCACCCCGGCCCCCACCGCCCACCCCAAACCAGATGGCCCAATGTGATAGACAACTCCACGATGTGACGTTCATACTATGTCCTCGCAGAGCACCGTGGCCAACACATCGCGTCTGACCTCTACGACCTCTGGCAGCGATGGCGTGGTGTCCCTGACGCCCATCCTGACCGCCGCCGCCCTGCCCTGTCCCAGCGATGGCGTGGGGTCCCTGACGCCCAGCCTGACCGCCGCCACCCTGCCCTGTCCCAGCGACGGCGTGGTGTGATCGCCGCCGCCCTACCCTGTCCAAACGACGGCGCGATGTACCTGACGCCCAGCCTGACGGCCGCCGCCCTGCCCTGTCCCAGCGACGGCGTGGTGTCCCTGACGCCCAGCCTGACCGCCGCCGCCCTGCCCTGTCCCAGCGACGGCGTGGTATCCCTGACGCCCAGCCTGACCGCCGCCGCCCCGCCCTGTCCCAGCGACGGCGTGCTGCCCCTGACGCCCAGCCTGACCGCCGCCGCCCCGCCCTGTCCCAACGACGCCACTGACCGTTTTCAGGATTTCGTCGGGGGACCAGGCACGCGGCGCCCGCGAGCGCCGCCCACTGGACGTCCTCCTCACTTCCGCTTCTTCCTCCATCTTCGCAGGGGGCTCTTGTCCTTCGTCCAAGGTCAGCTCGTGATCCGCGTCCAGTGAATCGACGTCCTCCGTTGGCGAGAGCTCAATCTTTGCCGAAGCACCATTTTCCTCTTCGTGCCGTCCATTTTCCCCCTTTCTCCCAGACTTCTCGGCTTGTGTCGCGTTCTTTCCTTTCCTTGCAGCGATTTTCTCTGCCAGCCGGAAGGTCGGCTCCTTTGCTAATGCTTTCTCGATTTCTCCAGACACCTCATGGTCCGACGTCTCATGATCATGATCATGATCATGACTACGACCAGGATCGGCCACAGCCTCATCAGCGCGCATCCCGTCCTCCTTGCCTGGCTGGCTGTCGCCTACCTCCTTCTCTCCGCCCTCTGCCGACACTCTCGCCCTTTTCTTCGGACTGGCCCGACCCCCTCGCGGCCCTGAGGGTATAGAGAGGACGGAGCGGTGCGCAGGTCAGTGCAGTCAACAGACCTCTCCAACCCAGCGTCGCAGAAACATACACCCCCGCCACGCGAAGCTGTCACGCACGTCCCAGTCACACAACAAGCTTCAATGACCGACGACAGCCCGGCCATCTGGGCTTACACCAACCCAATCCTCTAGGCACGCGCACCACGTCCCGGGCACCTGGGCGCCGTGCAGCGTGTCTGACACTCACGTTTAAGGCGGCGCTTGGCGGAGGAGACTCTGCCGTCGCCATCGAGGGGGCGCCTGCCGGCCGGCCTCGCCTCGCCGAGCTCCGGCTCGCCGGGCGGCTCCTCGCCGTCTCTGACCGCCACGATGTTCCGTAGGTGGGCGACCGCCGACTGCGATGTGAAACGAGGCGGAGAGTCAGCGCGATGGCAGGGAGCGCACGTGGTCAGCACAACTGGACTGCGGCACCCGGCACCACTGCTGCATGGGGGCGCAGGCTTACCGCAGCTGCGGCGCCGGCTGCACGACCCGGGGCGCTCCGCGGTCACCACACTCACCGGCTACTACTTGGGCCGGCGAGCGGCGGCAGCGATACAACCGAGCCCCGGCCTTGCACACGGACGTGGGAACCGGACGTGGACCACCGGACCGCCGCGCCGGTGCCGTGGGCGGCACATGACGGTTGTGGGCGCGGCAGCATAGGACAGAAGGTCAACGGGACTGAACCACGACCCGGGGTGGAGGGCCGGAACCACTGGCTCACCACGGTGTAATATGACATTACAATACAATTGTGATATGACAATGAATATGCCACAGGGGTGTAGCAATTCCGGTTCAGCAGCCAGTTCTAATTCCAAGCCTAACATACAAGCTTATTATATAGCCAGGCTAAGCTTCTCTAATTAATAAATTATAAGCTCGTGGTTGTGAAACAAATCATCGACATGGCTGTGGGAGGAATGGCGCAGTGCATGCCGTGCGGAATATTGGGTATGACATGAAGACTTGTACTCGGAATAACTTACATCAGATATCACGTAAAGAAGGTTCAGGACATGATGGTAGTGATAATTTAGGGTTTTTGGACGCATCGACTGCGGTAGATCACGCACCGCCCATAACTATAATTTTTACAGGGCCGCAAATCAAGCACGTGTATCAAACAGGTCACCCTTTAACGCTGTGATGGTCAGGCATGGCATCAGGCGAAAAGATGACTGGAAAATCTAAAGCGCAAAGAATCTGAAACACTTTCCCAGACCCAACATCATGCGAATAATCCCCTAAAAAGTGACGTAGCGTGCGATTCCGGACGTTGTGTACGAAGCGCTGGACTCTCGTTGCAGCAAGATGGCGGCAAGCGACGAACACGTGATGCACGCTCAGCAGCTGACGAAAATAGACCCGGACCCAAGAACGCAAAACACAGGTCACGGCTGCTCCACGTCAAAGGGTCTAAAACAACAACGACAGGCGCAGCGCAAATGCTTGATGGCGTTTCTCGCCGCTGGTGTGCATTTTGAAATAGACGACGCATATTCCGGCTGCATGTGTCGATTCATACGTTTCGGCTCAGCTCGACGCGACTCACAAACAGTGACGGAAGTCACAAACTTAGCGTGAGCCGTCCGTTGCCGAGCGAACCTAGCGGTGTCTAGCTGTGCTGGCCGCCTGCTACGACAGCGCAATAGCTTTCTTTTTCTCCGCGTGTTCCAATTACGAGCACTAGTCAGTCGTCGCCCAGGGCGTGACAAAATGGCTTCAACGGGAGGTCCAAGACTCGGGCGGCCACAGCCCACTCGGGAAATGCTGGGAGAACACGGACTTCGGGTCTCCACGCCACCGCCGCGGCTCGAGTCACAGATGGCTCGGATCACAGCCGGCTGGGGTCTCAGCCCGCTCGAGTCAAGGACGGCTCGAGTCAATAACAGCTCAAGTCACAGGCGCCTCGAGTCACGATCGGCTCGAGTAACAAACGGACCAAGTCACGGTCGGCTGGAGTCACAGCCTGATCGAGTCGCAGACGGCTCGGGTTACAGACGGATCGAGTCACAAACGGATCGAGTCACAGTCGGATCGAGTCACAAACGGCTCGAGTCACAGACGGATCGGGTCACAGTTGGCTCGGGTCACAGACGACTCGAGTCACAGACGGATAAAGTCGCAGACGGCTCGGGTTACGGACGGATTGAGTCACAAGCGGCTCGAGTCGACAGACGGCTCGAGTCACAGACGGATCGAGTCGCAGACGGCTCGGGTTACAGACGGACCGAGTCACAAACGGCTCGAGTCACAGACGGATCGGGTCACAGTCGACTCGGGTCACAGACGTCACGAGTCACAGGCGGCTTGAATCATAGGCGGCTAAGCCATCGGTGGCTCAAACCATAGACGGCTCGAGTCGCAGCCAGCCGCCTTACAAGCCGCAGCATCCGTACGCATCCCGCCTCGCCCGTGGCGAAGCCCATGTTGGACAGCACGGCCGCCAAACTGCCCAATCCGCGGAGGAAGCCGACCTTAGCGAGGCAACCAATTCGCGCGCCACCACGGCGCCCGCTGCTGTCGTCGACGAAAGCCGCGTTTTTCTGGAGGGAAGTACGTGCCGGTAGAGCAAGGCTTGCCCTTATTCGTCGCTTTCGCGAGAGAGTAGTTGGCACTTGGCACGCACGGCTAATGCCTAGGTAACCTAGGGCTGTGAAGTCGGTGCAGGACTCGACAATGACCCTGAGATCTTCCCCACGCGGGATCTCCGGCTGGACACCCAGCCGGGAGGGCCTCAGGTCAACCCTAAATCACCAACGTCCTGTTCACGCAGCAGCCCGCGCTGGGACGGCACCATTTCAGCTGCGATGCATCCTTTCAGCTATCATACAAAACCACGAAGCAAAGCGCCACCGGGGAGTGGAAACGCCAGGAATCAACGAAGTCCAATCTGTATCGCAGTCCAGCCCGGACCATTTGGCTGTAGCGAAGGCCAGTGCAAGGGTTTGGCCGGCGCACTGCGTGACCCAGCCGACCGGCGCCGGTCTTCACACGTGTCGCGAGCCAGGTATTTCCTGGAGGCATCTCGCCCTCATTTGGTCGGGTCTTTTGTATGCAGGGAACGAGCGTCGCGTCTAGACGGTTACGATCGGTTGGGGAAATGCTGCTAGGAACGTCCCAAGCTCCATGCATGTGAGGAGACTGAAGCGTCCTGTTCCTTCCGGGCAGGCTTATTCACCCTGGAGCTGCCCTTTTATACGTACCAGACAATCTGAGCATGCACCCTACAGAGAAAACGTGAATCACAAAGTAACAAACGGCAAAACGTTATTCATTAATGCGACCACCGCCACACAGAAAACGCGTCAACTTCTGAAACCGTCTGCGAAATGCAAAACATCAAGTGAAAAACAACCGGTACAAACAAAATGTCGTGCACCACGCAATGACGTGCACTAACGTAATAAGGTGAACCAATGCACTGAGGTGCACCAATGCGACGAGGTGCATCAGTGCAATGACGTGCATCACGCTCTTGCAATGCTGCACGAGGAGCACCGCCTACGGAAGCCGCCTCGCCGGTAAGCCCCGCCCGGCAGCAGGCTCGGGAGAGCAGCTGCAGACAGCGTGCCGCCCTGTCTCCCCTTCCCCTCTCCCCCCCCCCCCCCCCCCCCTCCTCTCCGTCCACGGCTGAGACAAGGAAGCGACGTGTTTGTTCGCGGGCGACTGCCCAGTGTAACGAGCCGCCGTCTGACGCGCTGCACTTGTGGCGCCATCTTTTGAATGGGTGCTGTATCGGCACCTACCGACTGATCCGCCAGGCACATGGTCACCGATCGCCCTACCTTGTCTCTCACCTGGCAGGTCTGGGGCGGTTACTAACCAATATTCATTCCAGATATATCTTATGTACGGACGTCCATCACAAAGACCATACCAGCTAGACCACGCTGCCCGCCGGCCACAGAACAAAACCTGCACTCGTCTCCTGCCTGCCACCGAGCACACCATCTAGTTGCCGAAGGGGAGATCACCTACGCCCATTCCGACCTGCATGAAGATCACCACGTGCCCCCCCCCCCCCCTCCGTCCTCCTTTCAGTTACTGGCGGCGCCGCGCGTTCCCTGGCTGTCTGTTTCCTCTCTCAGAGGGCACCCCCTGTAGCCCCTTCCCCCATCAACACAGAGGGCACTCCTGTAGCTACCTCCTGCGCCTACACAGAGGGTGCTCCCTGTAATCCCCTCCCGCGCAGAGCCCCCGCCCCCAGAGCCGCTCGCGGGGCCGCAGCTCACCTGGCGCACCGGGCCCGTCTCCTCCGTCTGACTGATGAGCGCCCGGCAGAGCACGCAGACGCCCTGGCCGGGTTCGGCGCGCACCGGCCGGCGCAGGCAGCGCGCCAGCGCCTCGGCCAGCGGCGCGCCCAGGCGGCGCGTGCGCGCCGGCAGCAGCGGCCACAGGCCCGGCTCTGGCGGCGGCTCGCCGCAGACGGCGCACAGAGGCGCCGCCGGCGCCGGCTCGGCGTCGGCGCCGCGCGCCACCGCTGGCCGCGCCGGCTCGGCGCGCGCCGGCGCCTCGTCGGCCGGCGCCGGCTCCCGCGGCCGCTCCTCCTGCGGCTCCCGCGGCTCCGGCGGCTCCTGCCGGCCGGGCGCGAAGCAGCCGTGAGTGTCGCCGCGCAGCCAGTGGCGTACGCCGCTGGCAGCGCTGAAGGTGGCTTTGAACACGCTGCGGTTTTGGAGACATTGTACGAGAGCGAAGGTGTGGCTGTGCATAGCACAATATCATTTCAGGGTAAGCTGGGAAAGCCCCGCGCACCGCACTAACGCCGCTTGCCAACGGGACGGTGTGAACCTGGTCGTGAACCTGATGGTCGTCGCCTATACTACCCATTCTTGGATCTTTTGCTGATTTCCATCGCTACTACTCCAGTGGAATCGATAATTCGTTGAACATCATTACTGCTTTGCATTCACTACCATTTCTATACTTTATTTTCAATGACTATAGCCTGACGGCACCTTTCCTGGGCGTCGTCGCCCCTCTCCCGCACCGGTTCCATACCGTTCCGGAGACGGTGGTGTCGGTGTCGGTGTCGGTGCCGGTGCCGGCGGGAGGTGGCTGCCGCGGTGGCGCCCGGCGTACGGCGCCGTCGGTGGCAGCTGCCGGCGCCTCGGTCCCGCCGCCCGTCAGCGCCTGGTGACACACGGAGGACGTTGGTCGCCTCGTGTCGCCCTGCCGGACGCTGACTTCGATGTGAGCAGATGCACCAAAATGTCGCTGAGGGTTGTGAGAATCACGCACAAGATTACGGCCATCCGCAGAAAGAATACCGGCGACAAACGGCGACACGTTATACAAGTTGAAAAGGCAAACTTTCCTATGCTTCATCTCAAGATACAATCAACTGTTTGTGAATTTCCCAAGTCCTATATAAAAGCTTGCCAACTTGTTGAAAATGTGCGCCAAATTTTCTGGGACATTGTTAGGACGACCATTAAACGCCAATATCCACACAATTTCTACATTTCGGAGAGCTCCTCTAAAGTGGTAAAATCGCTCGGCGCAACGTAACGACCCCGAACTGCACGTATGTGACGTCACTGGTGTGGAATATCGTAGCGACGAAGCTATTGTGTTCCCACACCATTTGAGCGTGCACCGAAAAGGTACCTATGAGGGAAATAAGATTGCAACCGCAACATAAAAACGGCATACAAACCGGAACATAAAACGGCGCAACCAACCGGTTTGGAAGCAACACCCACTGAACAAACTTGTGAAGGCGTCGCGCATTGATGCGACTACTGCCACGCCAGACATATGCCACATCTGTTTGTCCTGTTAAAGAATGCGCCCTCTGAACAAGCATGTGAATAAACATACCGAGAAATGCTTTCAATAGCGCATGTACGTACCTCTCTCAGGCAGTCATACAAAATGGTCCCGCCACGATCCAATGATACCAAAGGATCCTTCCAAGCGCCCATATCAGGACAAAAAGTCAGCGACGGCACACACTTGGCACTGGTGTCTGCCTCCGTGCCAGTATGCCTCTAGCAGGCGTCTCACCTGTCTCCCCGTGGCCGCCGTCGTACGTGTGGCGGCATGCCGCTGTGACGCCTGCCAATCCGACTCCTCTTGCCCGGCCATCAACCGCTCCATGGCCTCCTCCACGGAGAACGCCCCGACCTCTTCCGCGGGCGCCACCTCGACGGTCGCCGAGCGCTGCTCTGCAGGATTCCCCTCCGTAGCAGGGGTCGGATCCTCCTCTGCGGGCGCCGCTCCCGGTCCGGAGAAGAGACCAGGCTGACCGCCCCCAGGCTGCGACGCGTCCTCGACAGGAGCTTGTCCCGTCTGGTACCCGTGGTCCTCTCCGTGCACCTCCTCGGTCAGCGGGAGGGGCTGCCCGTCACGTGTGGAACCCTCGGCCGGATAGGCGCCGTGGGCAGGCGTCGCTTCCACTGCGTACGCATGCCCCTGCTCTGGAGGAGACTCTTGTGCTGAGAGCACACGGTCGTCTTCTGCCTGGGTCTGATCCGTAGGGAACGCATGACGGCCCTGAGCCGGGGTGTGCTCCGAGTAGGCGTGACTCTGTTCTGCAGTTGCCTCTTCCACCGCATAGCCGTCATCTGTAGAGAAACGGGGATCAGTGACGAGACGATGGAGAGCGGTTTCTCGGAATATCTCCGCTGTTTCCGATGGAATCCACGTGCCGTGAGGCTCCCTTGCCCGCGCAAGCTCAAGTTTCAGACTGCGCTAGTGTTGAGCGCGGCTGCTCATACACGCCAGGCCCAGTGAGGCATTGAGAGGTGTACCATAGCATCACCACTCACTGGCCCTCCACTGACGACGATTGAAAAAGCACTTCTCCGTGGTAGATAAGCTTCCTCAAATGGAGGGGAGATTGTCACATCCCTTGTGATGTGGCTTTTAACACCATTGGTATTTGACTGAAGTGGATTCGTTAAACACCCATCTGTTCAGCGCATTCCTTCGGCGTTGTACGGAGCTGCACAGGTTGTTAGGCCACCGCATTTTACCTCCAGAAAAAGTGCAAGATTTTAAAACAGCGCAAGGTCCTACTTAGCGAGTACTTTACTTCTGCGAGTAGCTCACGGGAAGCTACTCGCAGAAGTAGCTTTCCCCGTGAGCTACTTGAATAACCACTTTATTAAAAATAAAAGAGACGCTCCAGCGACTGACCAGCGTGCTCTGTCGAAATGTACGATATGCTGCCGTCCTCGTTGGTGACCTGCAGCAGTCGAATGACACCATCGGGACCGGCGGCCCCTTCCGGCACGCGCAGCACCACCTGGTGCCCATCCTCCTCCTGCAGCACTAGCTCTTGGCCGGCGCTGCCCTCGGGCACCTCCAGCACCAGCTGGTGATCTGCTGTAGGGCCTTGCAGCACCAACTGACCGCCGTCGCTCTCCTGCAGCACCAGCTCGTGCGCATCCTGGTGTTCTTGCAGCACCAGGCCTCGGCCGGCCTTCCCGGCCGGCATCTGCAGCACCACTTCGCCCTGCTCTGCACCTTCGCCGTGCGGCATCTGAAGCACCACTCCGCTCCCCTTCCCACCCTCCTCATCTGGTACCTGGAGCACCACTTCCCCCTCCTCCTCGACATCTCCGCCCGGCATCTGCAGCACCACCTCCCCTCCCTCGCCGTCCTCCAGCACCAGGGCCTCGCCGTCCGCAGCCTCGGGCACGTGCAGCACCAGCTGCTGGCCGTCGCCAGCGCCAGCGTCGACCACGTGCAGCGCCAGGCGGCTGCCGTCCGTCTTGCGCAGCACCAGCTGTTGGCCGGCCGCCCAGCCGCTGTCCGGGAGCCGCAACAGCAGGCCGCCTGTGTCAGCGGCCGAGGCGCCCTCGTAGGCGGCGGCGGCGGCCGAAGCCGGCGGTGGCGCCACCTGACGGGAACCGACGCCCTGCACAAACACGGCATTGCGGTACACAATTTTACTCGGTCAGTAAGCAAACACACTGCCATCCGAATACATACAGCGAGCAAAAACGCCAGATCGAAGTACAGACACCTGTGGACGAACTGAACTATGTCCAGTCTTGAGCCCGGATCTTATGTACATCTCATTCTCCCACCCTACCATCTGCAGCCCCTATCCCGTCGTCCTGTGCCCGCCTCTCACTAATCACCTGCGGGCCGGGCGGCGGCGCGCCCTTCACCATGTAGCGCGTGCCACGGCGACGGGCCGGCGGCGGCGCGGCTGCCGGCACTGCGCTCGTTAGCTCTGGCACATCTTCGAAACAGCCAAGCCGCGGGCCCTGCGGCTGAAGCAGTTCGCCTGTGGCAGCACAGCCATGAGCTCCATGAGATGGCATCTGGGCTGCTTCAGTCTGCAGCACTGGGATTGGCAATGGAAGCAAGGACATTGCAGAGGGATGGGGCAATTGGGGCTGGGGCACTCATGAGTGAGGGACTCCAGGCCAGAGTACTCATGGAGCACTCAAGCTCATGACACTCTCAGTTATGGGGCACATGTACCTGGGGTACTGAAGGGCATCACTGCCACACCAACATCCGGAGACTTGTGCTACATTACAATAACTGTCAGTGTTAACTGTCCCAGTCAGAACTAACACATTTGTGGAAATGTGGAATATGGTAACCAGAATGAGGATACACATTTACATCACATGTTGACTTCGGGACCACATTTCACCATCTTGCAGCTACTTACCTCCATGTATTATACTACCTACTTCCATACATTCCACTATTACTGTGTCACAAGTTGGGCATGCTTAGACTAAAAATGGTCCACCATGTGAAATTTGAAAGCTGAGCACATGGACCATAGTGTCAGCATATTAAATTGTCATGCTGTCATGCACTGGCTGGCCACCACATATGATGCCATTTAATATGTCCAGCAAATGCTGTTAATGTTGTCAACCATCACACCATTTGTATCACAATGTCCATGTGTCTCATAGCACTATGTGCTGTCTGCTCATCACTCATCATTTCCTGCCTGTTAACCTAACCATGGGTCATTTACTGCCCAATGATCACACATGCATCAATTACTGTCTTCCTGTCACATCAGAAACCCCACAATGTGCTCCCCCTCCTAACCTTACCTCCTCCAAGAGTCTGGCCAACTCTGCAGTCTGGGATCGACATGGTCCACTGTCCCCGTTCCCGCCGAAAGGCTGTGTGTTGTTCAGTCATGATCCATCAATAGTTCGGGCTGGGGATATGGTCAACATATCTGTACTCCCGGCGTCAGCATCACACTTCCGATTACACACACGCTGAACCGACTGGTACGCAAGCCATGCAGCGTACATTTGAATACATGCAACAAGCATCAAAAGAATGATTCTGACACGTTTTACATCTCTGGGTCACATAATAACAGTAAATGGATCCCACATAGACAGTGCACCCACAAAACCTGCGGACGTCGTATAAGCCCAGATGCAAGGTCAGGCATATATGTATGGTTGTCATCTAGTAATTTATTCACGCCCCACTCAAGTCTTTGCATGACGTCACTGGAAGTGCCTTCGTCGGCTCTCGGTTGTGGGCACTAAATAGATGGCCGAGATTTCGGACGTTAGACGTCTTCAACAACAATTTGATCAGCCCAAATCATACCAATTTTTCATAAAATAGGGATCTCTTGCCAAGCTTTAAGGAATACAACTATTGTAAGGATGTCACATTTTGACAGAAACCACTTCAGTGATGAGATGGTTCCATTTCTTTCCACGAATAAATTACAACTCTTGTCGGTACATTACACATTGCATGTCTATGGAGAGATCATCCGTATATGTATCACATCCGTTGCTATAAATTCGGAAATCACACATCGGTCAACACGGACCATTGTCAACGGGCTATCTCGATATGTGGGGATTACTGACCGACTACACCGACGGGAGATAAACGAGACTCAGACAACAACCGTAGAAACTAAATGCATCGTTGATATGCAGCGTCACCGTGTAATGCATATATATATATATATATATATATATATATATATATATATATATATATATATATATGTGTGTGTGTGTGTGTGTGTGTGTGTGTGTGTGTGTGTGTGTGTGTGTGTGTGTGTGTGTGTGTGTGTGTGGTGTGTGTGTGTGTGTGTGTGTGTGTGTGTGTGTGTGTGTGTGTGTGTGTGCGTGTGTGTGTGTGTGTGCGTGTGTGTGTGTGTGTGTGTGTGTGTGTGTGTGTGTGTGTGTGTGTGTGTGTGTGTGTGTGTGTGTGTGTGTGTGTGTGTGTGTGCAATGCACCAATATAGTTTGTCGATTCAAATGCAGTATCGAAGGCCGCAAAGTTCGTTTCATACGCTATATTGACATAACCGCAACGACACTCCCACGACGCCTGATAATGCACGTGCGTGGCAGGCATGTCTGGACCATATGCGACGCGAACATGACAGTACATTGACATACCAACAATTGACGAACAGCATTAACACTTTTCAGACGTGCAATGGCAGAAAACGCTTTCAATTTGGGGAAAGCATATTTATTAGCCAACACTGCTTAGCTCTAAACAAGCACATTCTTATACAACCTTTCAAATACTAGGTGGTGAGCGGTAAGTACTATAGATATGATTGTGGCAATGTGTTCGTGTCCTTGCAGTGTTTTCCTTATGAGTGCATTTAGTATGTATCAAAGTTTTAATGGGATTTTGACGAACTTAAATTGGTCACACTTCAGTTGTGACCTACGTACAAAAAGATGTTCTCATGATAGTAATGCATAATTTTCATCCTTATTTACTCAAGACTTATTTCATGTGCCATATATATATATATATATATATATATATATATATATATATATATATATATATATATATATATATATATGTATATATATATATAATATTATGGGATATGTATTGCAAGGGTGCTTCCCTTCATAATTCCATAGCCCTGGAATGATCGACTACGGCTGAGAAAAGTCTAGCAGCCCAAGCAACCGGCAGGTGCGGCTAAGTGTCCCGTTAAATTCAATTATCTCCGAAATGGCCAGGGGCGCGGACGACGAGCTGTAAAACCACGCCATACTCAGCACATGTAACGGGTCGAGACCGGGGCCGCCGCGTCCGGAAGGTGGCAGATGTCCACCAAAGTGCGCTCGGAAAGGAACTTTGGATACTGCTGCCTCGGATGGTAGGACTATTTTAAAATTTGCTGCGTCGTTGGAAAGGAATTTAGCATGCCTCGACCGCCTCCTCGCGATGTTCTGGCGCTGCATCGCAGCGTGATTGATTGGATGTTGCTCTTACAGTGAGCTTGGTCGGAATACAACGTAGGATTTGGAATCATGCGACGGAATCATGTGACGGAATCATGCGACGGAAATGGTCCGGCGTTTTTAATGAAAAGATAAACGACACCGTGTAAACTAGTCAACAAAATGAAGGGAGAAATCAAGGTTTGGAAGCAGACTGGCGATGTCACTCCCTAATCTAACCCCGCCCCGCTCCTGCTCGGCACAGCAGCTGGTAAACCGCCTCTTTACTTCCGATCATCAAGAAACTAAAACATTATAAGGTCGTCGATATCTCTAAATGGTATTACAAGTCATGACCTGACCTATACCCAGCCAACTGTCCGGCCACGTGATTATGAATCGACTCCCTGCCGTCCAGTGAAATTTTTACTTCGGACCTCCCATGCAAGGCTGGCTTTCCAGCAGTACACTAGTCGGCTGCTGCTCTCTGGGTCCGCGACTTTGGCTTCGCTCACTGGGTTTTGGAATGGCACACGCTACGATAATTGATCATCTGATATCTGCATCACCTCGTTTGTTGGACGAAACAAACCATCTTACTGGTTCTGGAAAAGTAGCCATTTCACCCCTTCAAACTTCCAGCACCGGCACTTTATGGGCCAATGCTTGTCTGCACATTTTTATGCCATTTCGCCCACGGTTTCCTAAAAGTCTATTGCAGAAGAGACATTGCAACTTAACGCATCGCAAAAGTGCGCCGTAGTTCAACGCTAATGGACCCCATAGAGTCGCACTGCAGCAACACAAAGAAACTCGTTGGCATGGCAGAGCGAATGCATCCCACAATGGCCGCTCGGCTCTTTTTGAACCACGGGGGCAGCGTCCCCAATGTCGCGCCAACATCCCAGTACACGCGGAGGCGATTGGGCTCTGCGAGTCGTGAAAAGCTGCTTATAATGGCTTCGTTCACAACTACAAAGGAGCAGGCGTATGACTGTCTGCCAAAATGGATCACTCGGTAAATATTGACGAGTTGCTGTGGAAGCGCACACGCGTCTTTTCATGGTGAAAAGAAGGCAGAATGCATGCCTCATAACGCAGTGTCCGGTGCGCCTTACCGACAAAATGCGGCAAGTATTAGTCCAGAAAATTTCTAGTTGATCAATGCGGCCCTCGGCCGGGTGGAACGCAGGGCTCCACCTGCTACAGACACCCTGCGCGCTCCGGCCGACCTAGCGGTCCCTGCTGACACGTCATCGGCAGGTGCTCCAATAACCCGCACGGGTCCGTCCGTTCCATTCGCCTCTCAGCGCTAGTCGCTCCAGTTGGTCCAGTCGCTTCAGCTGATCCAGTCGCTCCAGTCCACCAGTCGCTTAAGCGCCTCCGATCACTCCCGCTGCTTCAGTCGCTCCAGTCTCTCCAGTCGCTGAAATTTGTCCACTTTCTGAGATCGTTCCAGCGGACAGCTTCGCCGTGACCTGGTCTCGCCGTGACCTGGACCTGGACCTGGGCGAAGAAGCTAGCCGAGGAGACCCCGCCCTGCTGCCGAGACAGCACCTGTGGGCACCGAGTGACCAAGCTGTTGTAGCACCGGAAAATCCAAATCATCATCATTCTTATCATCATCATCATCAAAATCGACATCAGTATCAGCATCAGCACCAACATCAGGATCAGCATCAATATCAGCATCAGTATCAGCGCCATCGGGATCAGACAAAAACTGGTGGTCTATCGGATTCACCGAACAGAAAGCAGGAGTCCGTCAGGGGCCGGAGCGGGACGGGCGGGTCGTCAGGGAGACAGGGCCGACTTGGTTGGGGACCCGGGCGACGAGACCGCCGGCCCGTCGGGGACCGGACGGTCCCGGAGACCGGACGCCTCGCGCAGGACCGCTCAGCGAACGAGGCAGCCGGACCAAGCGGGATCAGACCCGCTTCTCGTCTCGCTTGGGTTCAACGCCGGGCTTGTGCACTGCTGATCCCCAGAGCTCGGCGTGCTGGAATGATGAGGGGTCCGGCTCCTTTGCCAACGCCGCTGCCGCCGCTGCTGCTGTGGCTGCGGCTGCTGTTACCGTTCCCCCAAGTGGTCACTGCGCACGGGATGATAACAGGTGACCAAGTCATCATTCCGGGTCAGATCATTGTCATCACCGCTGACACAGAACTCGCCTCCGACCGAATGACCGTTGCTGACCTCGCCTCCGATCGGATGACCGCTGGTGACCTCATCACCGACCGAATGACCGCCGCTGACCTCGCCTCCGATTGGATGACCGCTGGTGACCCCATCACCGGCCGAATGACCGCTGGTGAACTCGACATTACCGCGGGCTCCAACGCCTCAGTCGACCGAGCTATCGCCGCGCGCGGGATGACCCCTGCGGACGAACCCGTCTCTGTCGACAACAGCAGCGCCGCGGACTTGCCGGCTCCCACGGCCCCCGTGGTCACTGATGACCGGACGACCTTCAGTGACCTTGTCATCACTACCGAGCAGCTGTTTACTGGGGACCGCCTGGTGACCGCCGCAGTGGCCGACTGCCTGGCCGACTTCGCCCGCACTGACGGCTGGACCTCGGCTGACGTCATATGCGATGACGTCACTGGTAAGTTTGTCGCATCAGAGATGATGGTGGTGATGAATGAGGTGCAGTTTCACGGAACTTCGGGTGTGACCGACCATTGAAAACGGCATCATTTCTTGCAGGGTGCGAACACTTGTTCGCAGCGTGGGTTGGGTCTCAGAACTCGTGACCTTTACCCGGCTAGAAACTGTGGTTTTTAGTTTGATTTCAGCAAGACGTTTACCTGGCTAAAAACCATGGCTTTTAGTTTGGTTTTAGTAAGTATAACTCAGGCGTGGTGCGCACACCACACGCGAATAATAATCTTAACCTTACGCGAGTAATAGGTCGTGAGATCATTTTGAGCCTCTCCACATTTCTGAAGCCCGGCCGCCAGTTCCCTGACTAGAGGTGTTGTTTTTAAAGTTGTTGCCCAAAATCCAATCAAAAATGCAAGGATGGATCACCTGTCCGTCCAAAAAGTGTCCAAAAAACAAGACTGTCAAAAAATTGTCTATCTTTTTATATCAAATCGCTATTACATATAACGTACTATTCCAGCCACCACTCGCGTGGCTGCAGTCCCTAACTCGGATCGGATGACAATGAAGAAAATGATCGTGACTAGCTAAGGTGTATCATCAATGACGTCATAATATGCCGTT